CCTTTCACAAAAATTAACTCAAAATGGATCACAAACCTAAATGTAAAATGCAAAAACTATAAAACTCTTAGAAGAAAATTTAGGTGACCTTGTGTTTGGCAATGAGTTTTTAGATTCAACACCAAAGGCACAATCATGAAAGAAAAATTAGTAAGTGGGACTTCTACAAAAGATCTTGTTAAAAGAATGAGAAGACAGGCCACAGAGTAGGAGAAAATACTTACAAACCACACATCTAATTAAGAACTTACATGCAAAAAAATGGGACAACTGTAATAGCATAATCAATAAGATGTATTAAAAAAAAACAACCTATGTCCAAAATATACAAAGAACTCTCAAAACTCAACAGGAAAACAAACCCAGTTGGGCAAAAAATCTAAACAGATGCCTTACCAGAGAAGGTACAGATGGTAAATGAGCTTATGAAAAGATGCTCAACATCATATGTCACTAGGGAATTGCAAACTAAAACAGTAAAGACACACCTACTAGAATGGCCAAAATCGAAAGCAATGGCAACAGCAAGTGCTGCCAAGGGTGCAGAGCACCAGGAACTCTCATTCATTGCCGTTGGGAATGCAAAATGGGACAGCCACTTCAGAAGACAGTTTTGCAGTTCATTATGATGCTAAATTTAGCTTACCTTACAACCCAGCAATCATGCTCCCCAGTGAGTTGAAAATTATGACCACACAAAAACCTGCATTTGAATGCTCTATCTTCATTTCCAAAATGAGGAAGCAACCAAGATGTTCTTCGATAGGTGAATGCATAAACAACCTCTGGTACACCCACCTAATGAATAGTATTTAGTGACAAAATGAGCTATCTGTAAGGTAAATTAGGTTATGGAATAAGACTCAACTACAAAAAGCAGGTTGAGTTTGAAGTTCTTTATTAGGGTCTGCGTACCCAGGCGAGGTTCACCGGCCCATTCAGAGAGGGCTGGGGAAGTCGCGCCCGTTGGAGGAAAACAGGGAGCTTATGAAGCTGGGGAGAGTCGCTTGAGCAAGTCTGCAGGGGTCTGTTTTGGCAGAAAAGCAAGTAAAAATATCTGGACGACGTTTGGTCTTTCCTGTTATTGGGGTCAGCTTGTCCTTCTGGCTCATTTCAGTTCCTGGAAGCCGTTTACCCCTGCAGCTATTTTTTGCTGGCCATCTGTCAGCTGGGGTCCTTCATGCCCATCAGACCTAACACTATCAAGTCGTGAAAAGACATAGATGAACCTCATATGCATGTTGCTAAGTGAAAGAAGCCAGTCAGGAAAAGTTACATTCTGTATGATTCCAGCTAGGTATATGACATTCTGGAGAAGACAAACTACAGAGATAATAAAAAGATCAGAGGAGCCCTGGCCGGGTCGCTCAGTTGGTTACAGCATCATCCCAGCACACAGGGTTGCAGGTGTGATCTCTGGTCAAGGCACATACACACACACACACACACACACAGATCAGTGGCTGCCAAGTATTTTAGTGGAGGGAAGGATAAGGAGGTGCAACACAGGCTGTCTAGGGCAATAAAACCCTTCTGTATGATGCTGTAATGGGTAGATGTGTGATGTAGTGACATGTGATGATACATGACTTCAAGAAATATGGTGGATACAAATATACCTTTTCCCAAACCCATAAAATTTACAACACAGAGTGAACCCAAATGTAAATGAAGGACTTTAGTTAAAATAATATATTTATATTGGTTCATCAATTGTAACAAATGTACAACCTTAATGCAACATTTAATAATAGAAGAATCTTTGGGTGTGGGAGAGTATATATGGGAATTCTCTGTACTTTCTGCTCAATTTTCTCTGTAAACCTAAAACTGTTCTAAAAAGCAGCTTATTAATTAATATAGATTATATATTATTAAATATAATTATATAACAGGTTTCACCTATGACATTTTAAAATTATTTTTAAATAGTTTTTTTAAGATTTTATTTATTTATTTTTAGAGGGGGAAGGGAGGAAGAGAGAGAGAGAGAGAAACATCAATGTGCGGTTGCTGGGGGCCATAGCATGCAACCCAGGCATGTGCCCTGACTGGGAATCGAACCTGCAATGTTTTGGTTCTCAGCCTGTGCTCAATCCACTGAGCCACACCAGCCAGGGCTTAAAATTATTTTTAATTGCAATATCCACTGTTGGTGAGGATGAAATCTATTCTCCACTCAAGGCTAGAGTTATGTTTTATAAAATTACATGTATATGTGTATAGATTAATTTGTGTGTATGTGTGAAGGGAGCACCTACTTTAAAACCCCTAATTGTTTCTCAGTGCCCTCTGAAAACAGAAATCCATATCACTCCCAACTTGTAGAGCCAGAGCCATGCCTCGTCCACTGTATGTATCAAACGAATATTTGCCGAATCGATGCTGAATTACATGTAAAATACTGAATGCAGATGACTGTGAATGCACTGAAGTGTGCTGCCATCCAGCCACGCATACTTATCATCGCCCTCATAAGACCGTCCTCACAGGCGTTGCCAAGTGCCTTTCTGCTATCAGGATCCAATGCGCCGATAGTGTCCCCTGACCACATCGGAGCAGCCACTCTAAGCCATCTTCGTCCAGCTTGTTAGAGAGGGAGCGGGGGAAACTAATGATGATGCCAAACCAGCCAAGGGCAAGGGAGATGTGGATGGAAAGGCACAGTTGTTTATTTAAATTCTATTTCCCCACTGTTCCTAAACACAAAATAGAGATTTGTTTGAAGTTATTTGGAAGACTTTTTAAAGTTATAAATACTATGATTTTTTAATACTGCCCTAACAGTATTTTATTATTATTATTCTTTAGCAAAGGAAACAAACACCGGTATTTTTAAGGCCATTCCTGAGCCACCCAGAGCATCTAACTAAAAACGGACCGTTGAGCTCTGCCCAATAGTGAAGAAATATCAAAAGCCATTAGATCAACTATAATATCAGCATATTGGTGCGGCAAATATCCAATTATCTGTATTCACTTTGAGCACAATATAAAAACAACAACTAAAAGAAGCTTATGAAGCATGAAGGCTTAGAGAACCTGGTTGCAATGTGCTACAAAGAAATGAAAATTCATTAAGAGCTCTATACTTAACAGAAGGGTTAAAATTTACCACCACAGGGAATTGCTACTCAGTAGCACCATCTCCGCTTCCATCCTTGGGTTGGTGAGACTAGGAGAAGTTGTGCCAATATTTGCCTATCAAGAAAGACATGGTGCTGTACTGCAGAAACACATGTTTTCAGGCTATGCCAAACTGGACATTGCCTGGGAAACTGGCTTCTGGTACAGCTGCAAGGAAAAATGTCCTGAGGCAAGGACAGTTTCATATGCTGTAGCTTATAATTGCCTGTCTTCTACCCACTGTCCTAATTTGATCAGATTCTCTGTGGTCTCTGATTCCACACAGTACTATGCTCTGGATTCATCCCCAGTCCTAGCTTGCTGCCTAGTTTCCTTAATCCACTACTGCACAGGTGGCAAACACAAGGCCCACAGGCCAAATCCGGCCCTCTACCTGGTTTTATCCAGCCCCATATCTGTTTTCTACCCAGCGGCAGTGCTGAGCTCCCTGGCCCTAGTTAAGGAGCAGTTACATTTATACAGTCCTAAAATTTCATTCAGCCCTTGGAAGGCAACTGCGAGGCTGATGTGGCCCCCCGGTGAAAATGAGTTTGACACCCCTGCTCTGCTGAGTACAAAATGGGAGAGGCAGGTCATCACCTGAAAAGTAAAAGTTCTGGTGGCTCTTGTTGGCTCTCCTCATTTGCCTGCCTCGTTGTCTGCACATAAGCTTATTTCTATAGATGGGCCGTAACAGCTCCTTCTAATTTAGCAGTAAATGCTCTATATTCAATGATTCTTCAGTATAAAAGAATCTGGATATCCTAGCTCAGTTTCCTCCCTAATCATGTTATCTTCCTTGTAATCGAGGTCAGGTATGGATTATGCTATAACCATCAACTAATTTAGCCTACAGTTGTTTGTTTGTCTGTGTTGTTTTGTTTTTGGTTAAAAAAAAAGGAAAGGAACAGAGGGAAGGAAGGAGGGAAAATAAAGGAAAAGAAACAAAACCACACTGAATAAATATTAACCATAATATTATTATCAGTAGTTGGCATGAGGCCTAAGGTTTTTTGCTGTACCTCCTCTCTCTTTGGCATTTCGGTCAGGTCAGCCTACTGGAGACAAGGCAAAGTTCATTTGCATTTGTTCCTAGTTTTTGGAATTGTTTCAGTTTTTGTAATCTTTTAAAAATTTTATTTTATTGATTATGCTATTACAGTTGTACCAATTTTTTCCATTTCGCCCCCTCCCAGCAACCCCCCACTCCCTTAGGCAATCCCAACACCATCGTTGATATCCATTCACATTTTTGTCACTCTCTCTTCACATGAATTTATTTTTTAAATCCTAGTGTTTTTTAAAGGACCGTATATGTTGGAAAGAAAAGTGAAAAAATAGATCTTAGTGTGGTCCTGGGTGCTGCTCTGTCTCCACCTTCCGCAGTGCACCCCCAAATGCCAGCACTTCCAGGTGATTAGATGACTTAGCTAGTGCTGGCTCCCCCCACAGGTAGATGGGATCTGAACAGGAGGGACTTGGACAGACTCATCCAAGAAAACTGGAGCTGGAGCCCACTGTACTGCATTGGAGTAAAATGTTGCAAGGGGCTTCGAATGGGATGTTAGCAAACAATTGCCAAAAATCTCACTTGGAGAAGGCGTATAGGGGATTACCCTGGTGGTTTCTAGCAGAGGGCTAGGGTCCTAGGTGGTACCCTGTGGTCAAAGCCTCAAAATAAAAGCCCTTTGGCCTGAAAGCGACAGACTGAGGGCTAAATTAGCTTAAGTCTTTGTTCCAAATATGTAAAAGAAATGATTGGTATAATAGCAATGTTGGTTTGAATACGCATGTTGGATTGGTTGAGGTGAAGTGGGGGAGCTGGCAACCTACACTCATTAGCTCCTGAAAGAGGAAGCCCTGAACCACCTCTACAGAGCAGTCTGAGGCCGCAGGGGCATGCCCGCCAGCTGGCAGAGGCTGCTGCCCCCACCCAGGCCGGCTGACGGAAGTGCTGTTTCTCCCCTGATAGGACAAGAATGACCCAGCCGATCGGCAAGAGGCCAAGAGGAGCTCCCAGCTGCCTTCCCCTCCACTTAGCACGGGTGACATTGGGACATACCCACTGACCTCTCTTCCTTCCTCCTCTGGATGAGCCATGAAGGGACGTGACAATGAGGAAGTCATCCTTGTATGAACACGTAAGTATGCGTTCCTCGTCATCAGACACGACCGTAAGGTAAAGAACTTGCATCAGACTGTGAGCTGGGTCCGGGTTCTGCCTGTCCACAATGCACCCCCTATTCTGGAGACATCCGCTGAAAGAACTTATCCAGACAAAACATTTTTTTTTTCATTTAAAGAAATTATAAGCTCGCTCTTTAGTTTTCTTTAACAGATTAAGCCTGTGACAGGCATGATTTGTCAGCTTTTCTCTGCCTACTTCCTCCTGAAATTTAAGTCTGTGGTTAATCAAACTCTGCAAAAGACAGTTTCTCCTTCAGACTGTGGGCTAACATAAATCTATGAATATTACCCCCCCGCCCCATTTTGCTGGGGGTTTTTTCCTGAGGAGTATAAGCAATCAGAATACAATTTTAAGTAAATAAGGTATAAGAAATGTTCCCAGAGTCTTGGTTCTGTGACTCCACCAAATTCCGAGGACTTCCGAGGCTGCTCTCACTAGCCAGAACCTGAAACCAAAGCAGTAGCAAGTTGAGTGATGGACTTGGTGCTTTCCACTCAGTGCCAGCCTTTGTTCCCCAGCACGCAATAACAAAACAGCCCACTTGACTTTGCCACAATGTGTTCATTTCCGTTTACATCACCGTTCTCTATGTGGCACCACTCTAGGCATGGCAGTGGCACCCGTGCAGGAGGCAGTGTGGTGCCGGCGTGGGGGACAGGCAGAGAGTGGGGGCAGGCTGACCTACATGGGCTGAACTGGGCCTTGCTGCTTCCTAGCTGACTGGCCTAAGGAAAACCTGACCGTCTAGAAGCTCTTTCCCCTATTTCATATTCCTCCTGGAGACAGTAATACCTACCCTGCAGGGGGGATTAAAAGGTAACAACTAACGGACATAAGAGGTCTGGAATATAAAGTAGACTCCCCATAGATGATAACGATAATTATTGTTGATTTTGTAAAAAGTCAACACACTGAAAGTGCTCAGAATTATACTCGGTATGTGTTCATTATATATTACTGTGATTCGAGGAAACCTAGATGCCTTGCCAAGTTGGGATCTTCAGGCCTCACTGATGTCACGTTATATTTTTGGTTAATATGCCTAATTGAGAAAAGGCAGAATGTTTGGTATTTCCTGAAAGATTTTTTTAAAGATCTTAATTACTTTTGAGAGAGGGGAAGAGAGGGAGAAAGAGTGGGAGAGAAACATCGATCAGTTGCCTCTCCCATGTATCCCAACCATGATCCCCAACCAGAGACGAGTCCTGAAGTCCAGGCATGTGCCCGGACGGGGAATTGAACCAGCAACCTTTCGCTTTGTGGGACGACACTTAACCAACTTAGCCACACAGGTCAGGGATTTTGCAAGATTTTGGACACAATTGAACAAGTTAAGTTCACCCTATGAAAGGAAAGCAAGACTAGGTGATATGCATGTTAGCATGAGCAGAGACTGCAGGTCAGAGAATGTGTGGAGGAAGAAAAGAACATAGGTAGGAAGATGAATCAGGAAGCCGCAGCAGGACTGCAGGTCTGCGCTGAGGTGGAGGCTGCACAGAGAGAAGCAGCCTGAGCAGAGAGTGTTTAGAGGACACATCGCCGTTTCCCTCTTTCTCCCTCCCTTCCTCCTTCTCTAAAAATAAGTAAATAAAATTTTTTTTAAATTTTTTCGAAAAGAAAATTATTACATTCATAATCCCACCATTAGCATTTCGGTTTTAACAAAACATAATATTACCGCTGTTAGAATTAATTTATAATGTCACTTACAAGCATACATTTTTTTTTAAATATCCAGATTTTAAAAACTGACAATGTCGTGGATAGTGCTTTCATATATGACTAGTTAAGAAAAAAATAAGTCATTTTAAAGAGAAATTTAATTTAATTTTATATATTATTAAGAATATTTTTATTTTTGCCACTTAATCATTTTTTATTATTCAATTATAGTTGAAATACAGTGTTGTGTTAGTTTTAGGTACACAGCATACTGATAAAGCCCATACCCCTCTGACACCGCACATAGTTACCAGAATGTCATTGACTACCATATATTCCCCAGGCTGTCCTTTACATCCCTGTGACTATTCTGTGACAACCACTTTGTGCTTCTTAATGCCTTCGCCTTTTTCTCCCATCACCCCAATACCCCTTCCCATCTGTCAACTGTCAAAATGTTCTCTGTATCTGTGAGTCTGTTTCTGTTCTGCTTGTTAGTTTATTTTTTTCTCAGATTCAATTGTTGGTAGATACGTATTTATTTTATTGGTAATATTTTTTGTCTTTTTTTCTTCTTTATTTCATGCAATACTGGATTGGTTGTGATGAACCCCTTCAGGTTTTCTTATCTGGGAAGCTCTTTATCTGTCCTTTGACTCTAACTGGTAGCTTTGCTGGATAGAGTAAGTTTGGTTGTAGTTCCTTGCTTTTCATCATTTTGAATATTTCTTACCACTCCCTTCTGGCCTGCAAAGTTTCTGTTAAAAAATCAGTTGACAGTTTTATGGGAGCTCCCTTGTACATAACTCACTGCTTATCTCTTGTTGCTCTTAAGATTCTTTCTTTGTCTTTATTTTAATTGTGATGTGTCTTGGTTGGGACTCTCTGTGTTTCCTGGACTTGTATTCATGTAAGGAAAGTTTTTCATCATTATTTTTTCAAAAAGGTTTTCTTTTTTCTTCTTGTTAAATTTTAATTATATTTTATTGATTATGCTATTACAGTTGTCCTGATTTTTTCCCCTTTACCCCTCTCCACCAAGATACCCCACTCCTTCAGACAATCCCCCCACCATTGGTCATGTCAATGGGTCATGTATATAAGTTCTTTGGCTACTCCATTTCCTACACTGTACTTTACATCCCCATGGCTATTCTGTAACTACCTATTTGTACCTCTTAATCCCCTCACCTATTTACCCATTCCCCCATAGCCCCTCCCATTTGGCAGCCATCAAAATGCTCTCCACATCCATGATTCTGTTTCTGTTCTTGTTGCTTAGTTTGATTTTTAGATTCAATTGTTGATAGATATGTATTTATTGCCATTTTATTTTTCATAGTTTTGATCTTCTTCTTTTTCTTAAATAAGTCCCTTTAACATTTTGTATAGTCATGATTTGATGATGATGAACTCCATTAAGTTTTTTGGTCTGGGAAGCTCTTTATCTGCCCTTTGATTCCAAATGACAGCTTTGCTGGGTAGAGCAATCTTGGCTGTAGGTCCCTGCTTTTCATGACTCTGAATATTTCTTGCAGTCACTTCTAGCCTGCAAAGTTTCTTTTGGGAAATCAGCTGACAGTCTTAGGGGAACTCCCCTGTAAGTAATGAATTTCTTTTCTCTTGCTGCTTTTAAAATTCTCTATCTTTAACCTTTGGCATTTTAATGATGATGTGTTTTCACATGAGCCTCTTTGCATCCATCTTGTTTGGGACTCTGTGCTTCCTGGACTTGCATGTCTGTTTCCTTCACCAAATTAGGGAAGATTTCTTTCATTATTGTTTCAAATAGATTTTCAATTTCTTGCTCTTTCTCTTCTCCTTGTGGCACCCTCTATGAAGCAAATGTTGGACCTCTTAAAGTTGTCCCAGAGGCTGTTTAAACTATCCTCATTTTTTTTGGATTCTTTTTTCTTCTTTATGTCTGATTGGATGTTTTTTACTTCTTTATGTTCCAAATCATTGATTTGGTTCTTGGTTTCATCCACTCTACTGTTGTTTCCCTGTAAATTGCTTTTTATCTCAATTAGTATATCTTTTGTTTCTGACTGGATCTTTTTTATGCTGTTGAGGTCCTCACTGAGTTCCCTGAGCATCCTTATAACCAGTGTTCTGATCTCTGCATCTGATAGATTGCTTATCTCCATTTCATTTAGCTCTGTTTTGGAATTTTGATCTGTTTTTTCATTTGGGCCATGTTTCTTTGTCTTATTTTGGCAGCCTCCCTGTGCTTGTTGCTATGTATTAGGTAGAACTGCTTTGACTCTGTGTGTTGATAATGTGGCCTAATATAGTAGATGTCCTATAGGGTCCAGTGGCACAGCCTCCCCTATCACCCAAGGTGGGTACTTGAGCTGTGCCCTTGGTTTGGGCTGAGTACACCCTCCTCATGTAGTTGAGCCTTCGTTACTGTTGGCAGATCAATGGGAGGAATTTACCCAGTCCAGTCATCTGCAAAGATTGGCTGTGACCACAGAGCACCACCCTTTGCACTTCATGGAGGATCAAGCTGCCCACTGGGTGCATAGGCTCTGGAGTTTCCTGGGTGGTTCAGGGCAAGATCAGCCCCCACCTGTGTTTTACCCGGGGCCACTCTGCCTGAACTGTAAAGCAAACTGAGATGGCTTCTACTTGTGCTGGGCTTGGAGATTCCCAGGGGAAGCCAAGCTGTGAATCTCAGCTGGCTGCTGCTTATACCAGGCCTGGGCTGGCCTGAGTCTCACTGAAGCCAGCTGTTTCTTATTTGAGAGGATTTAGGAAGTTGTGAAGCATAAGCTAAGACCATCCATTCATATGGAAAAGCAGCTTGGGTGGGCCAGTATGTTGGGTGGGGCAGAGTCTCAGGGGATCTCCAGGGTGGGGCAAACAGTATCAGTAAGGTTGATGGAGTTTCAGATATGGCACCAGCTAGCTGGCTCAGTTGGCTAAGGGTTCAGAATGGGACAATGGCTTCTGCTTGTCTTGATGCCAGATACTTCAATTTCTCCCTGAACACTACTGGTGCCTCTCAAGCTGCTACCCTGCTGCTGCAGCTCAGAGGGAGTGAGCCTGAGAAGGTGAGTCCATGTGTAGGTTCTTCAACAGGAACTGCTTAGGGCTCCAGCAGTTTCTTCCACTGACTCAACCCTGGCTGGGTTTTGCAACCAGAAGTTGTGGGGACTTATCTCCCTGGCACTAGAACCCTGGCCTGGGGGGGCCTGGTGTGGCGCCAGGACTCCTCGATCCTAAGATATCCTTCCCAGATTTCAAAAAGATTTTCAATTTCTTGTTTTCTCTCTTCTCCTTCTGGCG